GGAAGTATTACATGTCTGAGACCAGATTTGAACTCAGGTCCTCCTGACTCCAGGGCCAATGCTCTATCCACTGCACCACCTAGCTGCCCCTTTCGCTTGCACTCCCTCTCTACTGGCCCATTCCCTCCTGCTACAAACATGCCTGTGTCTCTCCTACCCTGAAAAAACCCTCACTTGATCCTTCCAACCCTACTAACTATCATCCTTTATCTCTTTTACCCTTTGTAGATAAACTCCTCAAAAACAGTCTAAAGGCAAAAATGCCATCTAGGTCTACAACAGGTGCCTCCACTTTCTCTCCTCTCACCCTCTTCTTAACCCCTTACAATCTGGCTTTCGACCTTATCATTCTGTTAAAGCTGCTCTCTCCAAAGCTACTAACAATCACTTGGTTGTAAAATCCAATGTTTTTTCTCAATCTCATCTTCCTTGCCCTCTCTGCAGCCTTTGACATTGCTGATCACTCTCTCCTTGTTTCTTTCTCTCTCTCTCTCTCTGACCACTCCTTCTCTGTCTCCTTTGTTAGATCCTCCTCCACACCACACCCTCCAACTGTAGGCATCCCACACGGTTCTGTCCTGGGTCCTCTTCTCTTCTCCCTCCATACGACTTCACTTGGGCATCTCATCAGCTCCCATGGATTTAATTACCATCTGCCTCTATGCTGATGATTCTCAGATCTACCTATCCTGCCCCAACCTCTCTGCTGACCTTCGATCTCTCATTTCTAGCTGCCTTTCAGACATCTTGAACTGGGTGTCCAGTAGACATCTTCAACTTAACATGTCTAAAATGGAACTCATTATCTTTAGCCTAACCCCTGCTGGCCCTGCCATTTCCCTATTACTGTAGGAAATGATACCATCCTCCTCCGAGCTCCCAACCCAGCAGTCAACCAGGACTCATTCTCCGCGCCGCTCCCCCTCCCGCCCCCCACTGCTCATGACCAAAAAGAGACAGAAAAGTTCACAGAGGTAAAATGGATATTTTTGGTCACACAAAATTAAAAAGTTTTTGCCTAAACAAAACTAAAGCAGCCAAAATTAGAAGGAAAGCAGGAAATTGGGGAAATTTTTTTTTACAGCAAGTTTCTTTGATAAAGGCCTCATTTCTCAAATGTATAGGGAACTGAGTCAAATTTATAAAAGTAAGAAACATTCTCCAACTGATAAATGGGCAAAAGATATGAACAGGATGTTTTTAGAAGAAGACCTCAAAGCTATCAATAATCATATGAAAAAATACTCACAACTAATTAGAGAAATGAAAATTAAAACAACTCTGAGATACCACCTCACACCTATAAGATTGGTTAACATGACAGAAAAGAAAAATAGGGACATATGCACTGTTGGTGAAGTTGTGGTCAACCTCTGGAGAACAATTTGGAACTACACCCAAAGGGCTATAAACTTGTGTATACCCTTTGATGCAGCACTATTATTACTAGCTCTATATCCCAAAGAAATCAAAGAAAAGGGAAAAGAACCTATTTGTACAAAAATATTTATAGCAGCTGTTTTTTGTGGTGACAAAGAATTGAAAATTAAGAGGATGTCCATTAATAGGGGAATGGCTGAACAAGTTGTAGTATATGAATATAATGGAATACTATTGTTCTATAAGAAATGATGAACAGGCTGACTTCTGAAAAACCTGGAAAGACCTACATGAACTGATGCTGAGTGAAATGAGCAGAACCAGGAGAACATTGTACACAATAACAGCCACGTTGTGTGATGATTAATATTGATAGATTTTAACCCTTCTCAGCAATACAAGGATCTAAGACATCCCCAAAGGCCTCATGATGGAAAATGCTATCCACATCCAAAGAAAGAACTATAGAGTTTGAATGCAGATAGAAGCATACTATTTGTTATTTTTTTTCTTTTGTTGTGTTTTGTTTCCTCTTTCTGGTGGTTCCTCCTATTGGTTCTAATTCTTCCTTACAACATGACTAATGTGAAAATATGTTTAATAGGAACATATATGTATAGCCTATATCAGACTGTGCACTGCCTTGGGGAGGGAGGTGGGAAGAGAGGGGAGAAAAATTTAAAACTCAAAAGCTTATAGAAGTGATTGTTGATAAATCAAAATAAATTAATAAAAAAACCCCAAAGAATTGGAAACTGAGAGGATGTCCATCAACTGGGGAATGGCTGAACAAGTTGTGACTGTGATGGAACACTATTATACTATAAAAAATGACATGTGGGATAGTTTCAGAAAAACCTGGTAAGTCTTATATGAACTGATGCAAAGTGAAGTGAGCAGAACCAGGGATGATCAACTGTGACTTAGCTATTCTCATGGAGACAATGATCCAGGACAATTACAAAAGGACCTATGACAAATATTTGTTATTCATCTCCAGAGAGAGAGAACTGATGAATTCTGAGTGTAGATTGAAGCTTACTTTCTTTATTTTTTGCAAGTGTTTTATTTTGCAACATAGCTAATATGGAAATATATTTTGCATGGCTTCACATGTATGATTGATATCATGTTGCTTGTCTTCTCAAAAGAAAGGGAAGAGGCAAGAAGGAAGGAGAGAATTTATGTTAACATTTAATAATTTAAAATGAATGTTAATAATTTTTAAACTAATTGGGAAATACTTAAAGTAAATAAAAGCACACATATGTGACTTTATTTATGGTTCTTTTATATATATATGTGTATACATATACATATATATGTGTGTGTATATATATACATACATATATATACACACACATATATACACACACATATAAATATATATACATATAAAACAATGTTGTGATACTATTCAAGTTCAATAGGAGTTCAAAGAAAGAAGAAGTTACTTCTAATTTGGGATTGATAAAGTAAAACTTATAGGAGGTGGCATCTGAACTGGATCATAAAGGATGGGTTTGATTTCAATAAGCAGAGATAAAGGAAAGACCATTCTAGGAGCAGGAAAATGCCTAGACAAAAGTTTGAATGAGAGAAAGTCCAAGATGTATTCTAGGAATAGTGTCTAGGTTCTAGGTCTAAGTCTAGTTCTAAGTCATTTTGGCTGGAGGAGAGGGTTTATGTCGGAAGACGGGAAATAAGTTGGAAAAGTAGGTTGGTAATCAGATTATGATGGGCCTTGAATACCAGCCCTTTCAGGAGTTTTGACTCGGTCCTGTAGGCAGTGGGGTAACATAGCAGGTTATCAAATGGGGGAGTGATATAATCGAAATAAAAATTTAATCTGGTAGGGGTATGGTAGGATGGGTTTGAAGAGGACCTTCTTTCCATCCTCTTGTCCAAATACTTTGTATCCTGTCAAGCCCAGCTCAAATCTGACTTTCCCCATGAAAACCTGTTTGACCTCTCCAGCCCACAGTGATCTTCCCATTCCTGAATCTCATTAAATGGATAGTCAGTCTCACAAGGCTTGGTATTGAATGGCCCTCTGATTAAACAATCAGTGTGGTGTGATCTCCCTTTTCATCATATAAGCTCCTGGAGGAGAAGTAATGTATCTTGTCCTTCTTCTGTCCTTGCCCAGAATGCTTAGGATAGCCCTAGGCATGGAGCAAGTTCTCAGTTAATACCTGAATATCTGTTTGGGAGGAAGAAAGAGGTTCTAATCTGGGATTTTCTATTTTCCCTCAGCCCTCTGTCAGTTCAATTCAACAAATATTTGTTGTTTCTTATGTTCAAAGCACTGGACTCAGTGCTGAACGTGCAAACATTTTAAACGATGGCCCTTGCTCTCAAGAAACTTACATTCTATGGGGAGTAAGGTTCAATGGATACAACATGTCTATTGAGACAAAGGGAGTGATGGGAGCAAAAGAGATGTCTGGACAGATCTAAATTAAAACAAATAAAATTGAAAATTTATTAAATTAAAAGAAATTAAATTAGAAAGATATTTTGGAGCCAGATTGTAGCTTGCCTTAAATGTTAGGCTAAAGAGTCTGTATTTTATTCTCTCTTGACCTAGGGATGGGAAGCCAACCGAGGTTTTTTGACCATGGGCATGGCATGGTTAGATCTGTGTTTTTTGGAAGATGATTTTGGTAGTAATGGGAAGGATGAATTGGAAAGTGGAGAGACTGGAGGCAGGAACACTGGTCAAGAAGTTCAAGTGGGAGAGGATGTGAGCCTGGACTAGGGTGGTTGGCTACACATGGGTACCATGTAAGTAATGTCTTAATCATTACCATCAACTGAAATTCCCGCCCACTAAGCCGTAACATGCTGGGTCTTTATGAGAAGCTTGACCCCTTCCCCAAAGGCCATCCTCCTTTGCTATCTTATGGCACTTCACTTAATTCCGTGTATCCTGCCCAATGAGACATTGCTAAACTGCACAGACTAGATTTGCAGGTCTAGGGAAAGTTTATGGGGCAGGAGAAGGAGGGAATGAGAAATTACCACTTCAACACCCCTAAAGTCGAAGGTTCCTTTTTGACAGACCCTAAAAATGGGTCCGTCTCTTCTCTCCAAGGCATTCTGTCTGGATTCCCCCTCCGTGAAAAAGATTCTCTTGTTCTAGTCGACTCCCTTGGAATTTAAACTCCACTTCTCTCCCAACTCCACACCCATCAGCTATAGCTCCCCTTTCCAGTTAACTCCCCATCCCTCCCCTGTGCCCACTGTCTCAGGTACACCAAGAATTTGAGTTTCTTCAAACACCTGAGAAAACCCAGAGATATGTTGCACTCTGCCCCACAGTGTCCAAAGGAAAGGGAATTCAGGGTGTGGCCACACACAGACACATACAGACACACACACACACACACACACTCCTCTGGGTGATATAAAAAGCTGCCCTAGGGTCCCAGCAAAGACTAACTGAATATCCCTAGGGCAAACAAGAGGTAAGGAAGGAGCTGGCAGCAGGAAGCAGAGGGATAGCAGAATAAATATCTGGGTTCTGGGTTTGTAGGGATAGACACAATTGGATTGGAAGCACTGGGCAGACTGTTACATGGGAGAAGCTTGGAATTCTACTTGTGTTGCAGGGGGTCATGGCAGCAGAGAAAGGTTCCCCAGCAGTGGTGGGCTTGCTGGTCTTTGGAAACATCATCATCCTGGTAAACATATCCCAGTTCCCTTTACCTCCCCGGGGTCTTCTCCCAGGGAGTTAGGGTTGGGGGAATAGGTTCAGTCAGAAAATTGAAAACCTAGTTTGCCATGGGGATCTAAGAATGTATTATGGGAAAGAAAAAAGGAAATTCTGGGGCATAGGGCTTAGTGGGGAAATGATATTTTAAGAGTGAGAAGCAAGAGGCTGGCTTTGGGGGAAATTATATACCATCCCTCTGCCCAGAATCCTCATTTGGCAGTGCTGAAATCCTTAGCAAGGGATTTGAGTTAGTGTAAATGGAGAAACAGGATTAGTTGAGTAAAAGAAAAAAAAATGCCATTGATTTGGTGGCTTTGTATGCTGATAATATGGGATCGTAGTCGTGAAATTATAGAGGAGAATGGGTATATACTCAAACGTGGTCTGAACATATCAAAAACAGGACAGGTGATAGAAACATTACAGTGGGTATTTGGAAAAGAGATTGGGGGATAGTATGGAGCAGTAAGGCTTGGTTGAAGTTGATGGGCATGGGGGATTACAAGGGGCTGGGTGAAAGTTGTTGGAAGCTGGGGGTATGTGCACCACCTTGACTGCTCGCTTGGTCCAGCTGTCGGGCCTGGCACTGTTTGCGGAGACTGTTTGGGTGACGGCAGATCAGTACCGGGTCTACCCTCTGCTCGGGGTCTCTGGCAAGGATGACGTCTTCGCAGGGGCCTGGATCGCCATTTTCACCGGCTTCTCCCTTTTCGTGGTTGCCAGCTTTGGAATAGGAGCCGTGCTGTGCCACAGCCGAGGAATGCTTCTCATGGTCAGGGCTGGGGTGGAGTGGGGTGGGTGGGTGGGGATGAAGAGGGAAATAGGTGACAGAGAAGTGGCCTTTAGCTGGGCTCTTCCCATCTCTCCCAATTGAATTGTTTCCAAAACCCTGGGAACCACAATTTCCTGATCGAACCCCAATTAACCACTCTTATCCGAATCCATTCCCTTTTGGGCCAAAGCCTCCAACCATGATCCCAAGACACCGTCCCCTTCCCCCCACCCCCCACCCCATGGATCCCATCCCCTTTCTATCTGACCCTCTTCTTTTTCCTCTCCAGTACCTGGTATTAATGCTGATTGTCTATGTGTTTGAATGTGCCTCCTGTATCACATCATATACCCACAGAGACTATGTGAGCACTCAGGGGGAGTTAAGGGGTTGAGTAAAGGGGGCAGAGGATGCTTGTGGAGGGATAATTTGGAGATATGGAGCCAGAGGAAGGATTCTTAACCTATAGTCTGTGAACTTGTATTTCAAAAGATTTTAATAATTATTGCAATATAACTGGTTTCCATGATAATCCTCTGGATTTCATTTTATGCATTTAATGACACGATTCTGGGGTGGGAAGGGGTCTGCAGGCTTCGTCACAATTCCCAAGGGGTCTGGAACACAAAGTGTTAAGAACCCCAAGAGAATGGGGAGAGGAGGACTGAGCAGGGAGAGGAATTGGTGTTATCTCCCTGAGGGACTCTTCCCCTCCTGGTTCTAGGAAAGACTCCATCCTCTCTTCTGACTCCTTTCTCCTTCTTACTCCAGATGGTATCCAACCCAGGACTTATCACCAAGCAGATGCTGACATACTACAATGCCCCCACGAGCCAGGGCCAGGAACTGACTCGTTTCTGGGACCGAGTCATGATTGAGGTGAGGCTCCTCTGAGGACAGTGAGATGGGCAGGATGTATAGAGGGAAATGCGGGCATCCAGAAGCTGGGATGTTAGCCGTAGATACTTCAGTTGTTGAAGACAAGCGGGAGCTAAAGGGAGAAACTCAGAGCCCAGAGAGCCAGATATTGGGTTCTATGTTAAAAGGAGTTTTGCTCTATGCTGTTTTGTCCTCACTATCTCTTTCCCCTGCCTGTCTTTCCAGCAACAATGCTGTGGTACCTCAGGGCCCCTAGATTGGGTGAGCTTCACGTCAGCCTTCCGAAAGGCCACCTCAGAGGTTGAGTTTCCTTGGCCTCCGCTGTGCTGCCGTAGGGACGCCAACTTCAACCCTCTCAACGAGGAGGGATGCCGGCTTGGTCACCAAGACTACCTCTTCACCAAGGTACCATCATACCTTGCGTTTCCTCCCACTATTGCTTTTTCTTTTTTCTAATCACCCGATTATACATATTCTTCCCCCAATTACATATTGAAACAATTTTTAACATTTGGTTTTTTTTTAAGTTTTGAGTTCCAAATTTTATCCCTCCCTCCCCTACTCTAGACAGTAAGCAATCAGATATAGGTTATACATGTGTAATCATGTAAAACATGTCCATATTAATCATTTTGGACAAGAAGACTTGAATACAAGAAAAAGAAGGAAAGAAAGTGAAAATAGCATGCTTCAGTCTATATTCAAATACTATCAGTTCTTTCTCTGGAGAAGGATAGCATGCTTTATCATTAGTCCTTTGAGATTGTTTTGGACCATTGCATTGCTGAGAATAGCTAGGTCATTCACAGTTCACCAGTGTTGCTGCTACTATGTACAACATTCTCCTGGTTCTGTCCGCTTCACTTTTCATCAGTTCACGTAAGTCTTTCCAGGTTTTTCTGAAATCATCCTGCATCATTTCTTACAGCATAAGAATATTCCGTTACAATCATATACCATAGCTTGTTTAGCCATTCCCCAATTGATAGGCATCCCTTTAACTTCCGATTCTTAGCCACCACAAAGAGCTGCTATAAATACACCCCTCTATTGCTTAACCCAGCCTCTCCATCACTGTACTTTTCCCCTGCAGGGCTGCTTTGAACATATTGGCCATGCCATTGATAGCTACACCTGGGGCATCTCTTGGTTTGGATTTGCGATTCTTATGTGGACGGTGAGAGAAGGAGCCAAGATCTGGGAAGGCAAAAACCCCTGATGAAGGGTGCTGGGAGGGGAGTGCTTAAGAAATTGGGGGAAGTTAGAATTAATCCTATTAATCCTATATCCCTGGCAGAAGATCCCCCCCTCCCCTCTAGCCTAGGGACCTGGTATGCTCCTCATTCCCATCTCTCTCTTTCCTCAGCTGCCTGTGATGTTGTTGGCCATGTACTACTACACGATACTCTGAGAGCCTCAAGGAAGCAGATACCCCTTCCCCAGAAGCAGCATCTCCTCCTGCTTTGCCCCACAGGTGGTTTTGTGGGCCTTTTGGAAAGAGCGCTCCACTCAAACCCTCAAGTATTTGCTCTTCCTGATTTTCTTCCCTTCTCACCAAAATAACTCACCCTTCTTCCTTCTTCCTGATACTACTGTATTCCCTTTTTTCCTCCATCCCAGGCATCCCTACTTCCCGCTAACAGTGATGGAGTCTTTCCTTGTCTGCCTGCACATATTTTGTGTCAAATAAAGGTTTCTTTTTTCTCATCCTGAGCTGGTTTGTTCTGGCTGGAAGGCTCCTGGGGCTGAAGAGAGCAAGCCTTCCAGGGCAAGAGGGGAGGGAGTGGTAGTTTCATCTTTGCCCTCATCCTTTTCTACTTCCTTCTCGGGCTCCAGTTTGACCGCATTCCCTCCTTGGCCATGTTCATGCCCAAGAGTGGGGCTGGACAAAGTCATGTTCTAGGCTGGCTGTTTCCACCCACCCTCAACAAGCAAAACAGGTTTGCCTGTTGCTTGATCCCGTTAGGAGAGCTCGCTGCTGCTGCAGATGAGTGAGAAAGGGGAAGAGAGCAAAGTTGAGAGAACCAGTGGTAGCTAGGTACCCAGTGTGTGTGTGAATGCGAGGAGGGGAGGGTATTAGCTCACTGCTGAGACCTTTTGCGATGGGGAAAAGGGGTCCTGAAGGAGAAGAGTCCTAATAAGAAACTGTACACACAGACCTCCCTGTTTTCTTTTTTTTTTTGTAATTAATTTATTTTGAATTATCAACAATCACTTCCATAAGCTTTTGAGTTTTAAATTTTTCTCCCCCTCCCTCCCCAAGACTTCACGCAATCTGATATAGGCTATACATATACATTCCTATTAGTCATATTTTCACATTAGTTATGTTGTAAGTAAGAATTAGAACAAATAAGAGGAACCACTCCCTGTTTTCTAGAACAAGCACAGAACGGTCCCTCCACACAGAAGAGGGGAGTTGTAGGAATTAACTCAGGAAGAGGCTAACTAGATGACCAGCAGGCTAATGGATGTTTTGCCACATGAGACATGCTACTGGACACTGTCATTTCACTAATCATGATTAGTCTCCTTTTACCTCATTGGTAACAACTGGAATTGGATTGGTTGATTAAATGCCTGGGCAAGAGTCTTTTTTTTTTCTTTTTTCTTTTTTGGAAACCCAGGTTAATTGGTATGGGGTCAATATTTTCCGGAGGAATTTCAGCTCAAAAGGCTGACACCTCCGGCTCGTGTCAAAGCCCAGAGATCCCCATGGGAGAGGAGACCAGGCTGAGGTCACAGGAAACAGTGACCCAAGTACAGTCGTGAAAAGCGAGGCCAAAGGATAAAAAGCAGAAAAAGGAAAGGATAAGCCAAAAGTGGGTAAATCATATCTCAGCCACTCGAGTTACCCAAACCACTAACCGGCCCCATCTCCTTCTTCCAAGAATGGCCTGCTCACGCCTGAAGGCTTGGACCAAGGCCCTGAAGGCAGCAGAACCTGGTTCTGGTTCCATTGCATGTAACTGATCTGAGCTTCTACATCCAGGGTTTTCCTAGCCATGTACCCCTTGTCTCCTCAGCCTCAAGAGAGCCTGCCCACTAGCCCCATTCTGCAGATAAGGAGGTGAGGTGAGGTGAGGGGCCCAGATGCACACAGATCATGAACAGGAGACCTGCTTTTCCCATTACATCAGGCTGCATTGTCTGGCTTTGACCAAACAAAGTTGGAATCAGCAGAACAACAAGTCACGGATTCAGAGGTGTTGCTGAGACCACCATCAGGGTGCCTTCTCTCTGCTTTCCCAAACCAAAGCCCCGGCTTTCATTCTTGGCCCTCCCCTCTCCTTCTGGCCCCATGAAGATGAGAGTCCAGGAATGAGGAATGAGAGTCCAGACCCAGGATCAGCTGGGGTCAGGCAGGGAGGAAGGAGAGAGGCAGGGTTGGCTGCTGGGGGTCCTCTGACGTCAGGCGGGGAAAACCAGCCGGGGTCTCTGCCCTGGGCTAAGTGGAGGACACAGGATATTAACCCTTGCCAAATTCTGGAGAGCTCTGGATCCAGCCTCCCAAATAGCCAGACCTTGGGGATCCTGTCTGGGGCTAGATCTGCTGGGGCAGGGCGGCTTAATAATGCTGTTGTGTACAGGGAGGGCACAGAATGCATGCTGCCCTTGGGTTAATGGGGCTCTGCCTTGCCTTCTTCTACCAGGCTTTGGAACTTGCAATCCCTCCTGCACTATATGCTAAAATTGGGATAGGAACCCTGGGACTATGGAAGGAAGACACACACTGGAAAAGAGCCTTGGATTGCCCATCAGAAGACCTGGGTTCAAATCCCACCTGTGATGCTTACTGCTGGGGTGACCTTGGGCACGTCACTTAACCTTCCTGGGCTTCAGTTTCCCAATCTGTCAGTCAAGTGGGGGGGTGGGGCTAGATGGATTCTGAGGTCCCCTCCAGCTCCAGATCGAGGATCTCAGACCCTTCTTCCCATCTGCCTCCCTCTTCTGCCCAGCTCTCCCCCACAAGGCAGGAAAAGGGAGTCCGAGGGCAGGCACCACCCCGCGAGTCTCCGCCTATGGACCCCACCAATCTCTTCCCATCGGCCTGGCGACTGGAGGGCGGTGCTAACCGCAGAACAGAGTACCCGCCCCTCCTTTGGCTAACCTCGTCCAATAGGAAGGGGAGACGCGAGTCCTGCAGCCAATCAGAGGCGGCGGGGAGAGCCACCGCCTCCTCTTATTTCTCTACCCACCTCGTCTCCCTCATGTGGCCCGAGGTGTGAGCTCCTCAGCCAATCACAGAGGAGACCGCTCATCTTGGCGGGAAAGAACCTCGGTCTCCATTCCCCCCTCTCTAACCCGAGGGTGGCGGCGGCAGGGGGCGTCTCCCCCACAACAGGACGCGGCCGCCCTATCCCGGCAGAGCTTCTCGGTGACGTCAGGGCGCTCCCTCCGAGAGACTCAGCCCTCCTCCCCTCCCCTTCCCCCTCGGCTCTTTGCCAACCGCTGAGCGTGAGCGCGCAGGAGAAAAGGCGGGAAAGGGCCTAACGGCGAGGGGCCGTTACGGGAGCGCGGCAGCGGGGGCCGGGCCCGGGGCCCGAGAGCGGAGGCCCGGCCAGGCCAGGCCGAGGCGAGCGAGAGAGTGGACGGCCAGGAGGAGGCGGAGCGCGGTGAGGACTCCACGTTTTCTTCCTTCCCTGCGGTTGGGGCGAGGCGGGGAAGGTGGGGGCGGGGCTCCTCCGAAAGCTCGGGGGGGGGGGGGGGGGCGGAGAGCCGCGATGGGGGGCTCGGAGAACCCCTTTTTGGGGGCTTCACAGGCACAGTGGGCGCGCGTGAAAGCGCCCCAATGTGGGGGCACTTTATAGGCCTCGTTGTGGAGGGCACTTAAAAGACCCGGTTGTGAGGGCTGCCCCAGAGTGCCCCATTGTGGGGTGCTCTTTGCTGACCCCCATTTGGGGTGGGCTCCTCGCAGACCCCTATTGTGAGG